TCAATTCTATCCTTGATGGGATTTTTAGACGCAAGTCATATGCTTTTTTAGACATGGGCCAAATTCAGCCTTCTGGTATGTTTAAGAATTGTATGTTAATTGCAAAAGAAGTTGTGCAAGTGTACCTATGAACTTGAAGGCAGGCTGAGCTTTCTTTTCAGTGCAGAAGCGAAGCTTCCCTGATAATTTTTCCAGTTTGTGGTTCTGTGCTAGTTGGCTTGGTCAGCATATACTCGCTTCTTTCTTTTTCATGTTGTTTTGCAATGAACCCTTACTTCAGCATGAGGACTCTTCTCATTCTGCCTTATAACACAGGCATGTGGTAATTGGCTGCAGGAAGGAGCCAAAACATATGTTTCCTTATGGCACTAATTAATTGTTTACTCATATGCATGCTTGATACTTAATTGCTGTTGAACACTCTGGCCTGTGAGACTTACATGAAAATATCTAACTTTACACCATTCTCAATTAGAAACACATGCAAAACTGAAAAGTGCCTGTAGTCACAGTGAAAGAGAAACAAAACTTCACTAGTCACACAAATAATTCCCAGCACATCACTTATTTTAGAAAAAAAGTCCTCTGCACAGTGCTCAATACATTTTTCTAATGTAACCAGCCCTGGAAGCATAAAGCATCTGTGCTCTACTTAAAACTGCTGATATGACAAAGAAAAACCTCTTCCTCAGGACTACTACTCCTCTCCTGTAGCATAACAAGTGCTAGTCAACCACAAGTGCTCCTAAGAATGGCTACTTTTAGTGCTTTTTACCAATAACAGGCAGAGGTTTTGCCCATTAGGGTTTTATTTTCCATCTTTGGAGTTCTGCCCATACCTCTCTGCGCTGAATTTTTAGGTATTTATAACATTTCTATGGTACTTACTGCCATATTACCTGAGCCCCTCACACTCATTAATCTCCAGTATAAATTGTTCCTTTGTTCATTTCTTAGTAGATGACTTAGATCAAGACCACAGCCTCTTAAGCAGATCTAGCAGGAAAAAGAAATTGAGAGTAAATTAAATATTCCTGTTTTCTCATTACTTTTCCACTCTAAGTGTTCCTGAAATAGCCAGAATGATTAAAACAAAGGAAAATAAGCCACAGGGCTAAATTTTACTCTTAAAAATGTATGGGTAACAGTGAATTCCACAGGACCCAGGTCTGAACATGTCTCAAAGACAGAACATAGGTCATTTTATTTTAAAATTAGGGTAAAATATTATTTATCTTTCAGATCACTGTACTGGCTTATTCTGAGAAGTGCAGGACTAAAGATAATTACTCAAGCAATGTTCTGAGAGTTTATAAGTTACTTAGGGTAATAACTCTACTAATAAGCTAGTATTAAACCAAAACCTTAAAAAGTGCTGGATTTGTAAGTTACAGGAAGCCTGGATAAATGGACAGAGTAACTAATGCACTCAAAATATATCCACATGTAAGAATCTGGTATGCAAGCAGGATAGCTTACCCAAAAATAGCTGTAGTAGTCCCCATCCTCAGCTGTCCATCTCTCTGAGGTCCCAGTCCTCCACGGCTAGGAAACGTAAGCCGCTCGTGCAGCAGTAGATGGATGGCCTCAGTTGCTAAACCCGTATATTAAACAGGCTGCTGCTTTTCTTGATACATCAGCCAGTTATTTCCGTAGTTCAGAAGGTGGCATGTCAGCAAATGAATACCCTTTTAATGAGGGCAGAATGGCCAGCTGAAGTGTAAACTTCTACATACCAACAATAGTAACTGTGCTTGGGATCCTATGGGAGACTGAATTGTTTACAAGCAAACAGATATGTACAGAGTAACACGAACTGTTTGCAGAAAAATCTGTTATCTCAAAGACTATATTGCCCAGTCCAGAGGCTATACAGTTGAATCTAAAATCAGGTTTGTTCAAAGTTTGCTACAGTACCTAAATATTTAAAGTGACTCTGGACCAAAGAAAGATGTTACGCTGCCCCATACCATCGCACCACTGTGCTACATGAAAATAGACAGTGCTGAGTATTTTCTGCACCTCAAATAGCAAACATAACTCAGTGCTTGAGTAGTTTGAGTTAGACCTAATTCCTAACAATCTCATATCTTGTCATTTATATCTGTGCAATGAGAACAGCAAATGCAGCACTGAAGGGCGCTATTTTTTCCCCACTCCTCACAGAAATGTAAATGAGTTCAACAAAGTGAAGGACAGTGAAGACAGTGGTGCACATTCAGGCAAAATGAGTGTCAGGAATATAATCCCATTCATTCCTGCAGACAGAAAATTCTTTAAGAGAAGTAAATCAGGAGGCAACTGTATAGATATGAGACTGTGATTTAAAAACAACCTTAGCAAAAAATCCTTAGGAACTGGAGGACCAACTGGGGACAACAACCATGTGAGTGGAACAGCCTATTTTTCCATTGTCAATACACTTTACAAATGTAGCTGCTGGGGTACAACGTCTGAAATGAATGTAGCCCATACCAGGTAGTATTTTTCCATAGACACAGGCTTGCATTATTTCTTCTGCTTACTAAAAAGAAATTGGGAACATATTCTGTACCATTGAAAGTATTAATGTCTAAAGAAGATACATCCCAAAAAAATACATGTAGGAAACCTGAATATCAACAGTACTAGGAGAAGAGACTTACAGATAATCTTAAGTGATACCAACTTCATATAATAATCTGTCATCATAGGTTTGGCCACTCTACCTCTTTTCTGAGCCAAGAAATAAAATCAAAGTAAAGTTCTGGAAGGGTTGTTGTGTCCTAAAAAAGAAATCTGATGAGAACTGAAAAGACTCTGGTTTCACCATGCCAAAACCCAGCACCATCTAGAATTTCATTTTACACCTCTGGCACCAGTGACCCAAAGCACAAAATACTCAAGTTGGTGATTGATGCAAGTCTGGTAACATCAGCGGTGATATGCCAGTTTACACTGTGTCATATAATACAAGGATCTGAATTGGGACAGAGACTGTTTTTTAAAGTTAATTATAGATCATGTTTGAAGGCTCCTCTGTGCATGCTTTTGTTTTGATTTTTCAGCAGATCTTGAAGGCAATGGACACTACAGTGCCTGAGTATCTGGGCCTCTGTGTATACTTTTATTGTTCTTACATTGAACAAGCCATAATAAAAACAGAGGGATAGATCTGTTATTACACAAAGGAGAAATTAAGTAGCTAGTTTCAGCTGAAATGGGGGTCAGATGCTTTGCTTTCCTATGTATCTTGGAAAACTTTCCTTCCCAAAACCCTAACAATTCCCGTGTGCCCACTAACTTCTGTGGAATAGTCAGTTCTCATATTTCTATCTGACCTCATCCACTTAGCTTATCGTAGATTTGGGGGTAAAATACCATCCACACTGCATAGACAACAGCAGAACTCCCATTCACTGTAAAGAGGCAAAAGTTTCATGAATGAGAAATGCACTGCTCTTAACTTGATCGAAAGAACTTCCTTCATGTAAACAACTCTCTCAGAAGGACTCTGCCTGTGGTCAGACTCTCTCCTGCACAGGCCATGCAGGGCGCTCTCAGAGAATACCAGAAGAACAGAAGACCTCTGAGGGACCGCCACCATCCTCCAAATCTAGGAGAGTTTCTGAATTAGCGCATCCTCAGAATGCCTATATTCCAACCCTTTCCAAGGGGCTAGGGCTCTGCCCAGCTCGTGAACATCTGCTGGAGTTGCTAATCATCCCAATGCAAAATGTTCATGTCCTGAAGACCCTTTAGCACTAAAATCTTCACTCTAAAATATATATACTTTCACAGAGGAAAAGATTATAGCTACTTATGATTTACAACGACTCAGTGCTGAGTGGAAAGAGCCAGTCCCCTTCTTGAGCTCATCTGCCTTGGAAGCTAAATCAGAGTTCTCAGAAGGAGTGCATAAGGAGGAACTGATACTGAGTTGAGAGGTAGGAAGATATAAGCCCTTCATCTCCCACCCTTGCTGCATTTCCTTACTCAGGTATCCGCATCAGCACCATAAGTGCTTGGATGCTAAAGGTGCTTAACACGATTTTCTTACTTTGTTGTGGAATAGATGACAAAGGCCAAGATTCTGCTTTCTTTAATACTAGTGATAATTAGTTCACATCACAAGAATTTCGCTCCAAATACTGTGAGGATAACAGAAAACCAGAAAACAACTGCCTGAAATCCTGCTTTGGCATTTTGGAAAGTTTACTGGTTTAGTTTCTTAGCAAACTTTCAAGCTTCATTAAAATAATACAACCTTACCTGCTGTTCAGGCAGAACTTTCTATCTCTCTTTATTCTTCTCCTATTGAATCAGCCTCACAATAATTATGTGCAGAGAGGCAAAGTGAAATTACTGTAGCAAAGGTGCAAATTCAGCCCAGAATGAAAAGGGGCATCAATTTCAAAGTCTGTAACTAGGTACACTTCAATATCAAATGCTCAGCAGGAGGCCAAGAACTTCAATATTTATTGAGAACATTATGCTTTCTCATTACATAAAAACAGTCCTATGCTGCAACACAAAAGTATTGTTTTCACAAAAGACTTCGGATGGTATTATTTGAAATGTTGCATTAACATTCAGTTTTGCTTTAGTTGCCAGAACAAATGTATTAATTTGTGAACCCTGAGGTCACAAGTTCCTCTAGAAAACACTTATATTTATTGTAATGTATATATAAAATATTGTAACAAAAAATAAAATATTTTAATATTGGCACTTCAAAAGTGGATAAATGGGCAAAATAAATGCTCTCAGATGATCTGTTAACCTCTGCTGGTTGTGCCAATTACCCTTTGCAGAAGTAATTAAAATGATTTGCAACAATGGAGAATGAATATGAAATTCATCTTGTCCGCTTCGTCATTGATCAGTAGTAAAGTAGTCGCACTTGAAAAGCGTATTCTGACCATGGGAAAAAAGGAGCATTTTCATCACATGGAACAGTTTCACTCTTCTGGTATGTTAAATTGATTAATAGTTGTTACATTTAACATTTTTACACTTACCTGGACTTGACAAGGAATTTACAGTAAGCCAACACATCATTTGCTTTTGGCAGATGTGAATTGCTCTCATCACTGTTTAAAAAAAGAAAAGAATTTGTGATTGCAAGAAATGAAAAGGAAGATTTCTTCATTTTCAATCCAAATAAAAATATATTATTGATTAGCTTTACAGCATTGTTGGCTATTTATCTCATATGTTGTTTACATTACTTCCTCAGAAGTGTTTTTGTTATTGCTGTGGCATCTTTCTGGAGTAAAAATGCAACAGATGAAACATAATTTTCCTTTATGTCTCTCACTAAAGGAAGTAATGCTTTAATGTATATATCCCTGACTCCCAAGAACATCTGATAGCAACAACTAATAATCCTTTCACACTGATTCAAGTCGAAGTCAGGCCATCAGTCATAGCGCCAAGTTATACCAGCTCAGTAACAAACTTCTGTGATAGCTGTGGGATTTGTCATATCGTTGCAGGCAGATAACTTTCACTCTTCCCATGAATGAGGACATGAACCAGACATGAGCCAGCTCTGAACTAGAAGCAGTGCTGAACCAAATTGCCAAGGCATACCAAGAGGCAGCATACATTAACTTGAGCTCAGCATAGTGATACAAGCACACAATTCCAGCCACATCTGTGTAAACATAATCTCCTAGAGTCAAATGCCTTTCAGAGGACCCACTCTCCCAAAGAACATGCAAAGCTGAAGGAATTAAAAAGAACGTCCTGTTATCTTTTTTCTGGTATATCACACTTAGGCCAAAAAAAAAAAAGAGGGAAATGCAGTGCTGTAGTTACATACAGTATTTAGTATTCCAGCACTGTTGTATTTAGAAACATGATTTTAATTTCACTGGATCAAGTTATGCAAACAGAGATCAAAGGAGCAACAGACTCATCAAGTTTCCTATCAAAGCCCAGTTTTTACTAGGGATACCAATGATCCTCCCAATGGACTGAATCCACTGACCTTCGGACTCTATATCCAATTGTCACAGAAATAAAGCTATCTCATTTCAGGATATCTTTAGACCCAAAACCTCCACTACATTGTGGCTCCATATACCAGCTCTTCTAAGTTTATACAGTCTAAGCAGAAGAAAGGAAATTGGTTACGGGAAAATGAAGATAACACGCTTTCTTGTTCCAGATGAAGCATGTAAACATTGTGGTCGTATACTGTGTTGATATGCAGATCTAGCTATTGCTATTACAGTATCGCGCATGGGTGAAAGGCTTAGCATGTAGGCAATCCTAATTATCTGTTAAGTGCTACGTAAACATCAGAAACCACCACGATATTCCCAATTTAAAAAGCATTAAATCAAGGCAACAAAAGGTTATTACCACTCTAATACAACAGGGAACTATTCAGCTTTCAATTGCTTTTCTTGATCATTCTCTTTTAGTTTATTTCTTTTTATATGTTTTGTAACTTGGTTAGGGAAGAACTATATTTAGATGTCACCTCACAAGTCCCAACAATTTCATTCAGATTAGCAATCCAAGTTTAAATCTGGATTCAAATTTTATAATAGGCTTTTTTGTAGGGGTCCAAACTGTTTTTTCAATCTAGCTAGCTTCAAAAATCAGGAAAACTCTAGATGGATGCTCATGACTTCATGTGATATAATCTCTCTTTGTGATGCAATGGAGGACACTATGAAAATGCAGTCTAAATAGGAAGATAAGACCACCATTCTCTTCTCTGGGCTTAACTGATTCATTTACCACTTCCACAGAGGACCAATGTGAAACAGTCCCATTAAAATATTTTTTTTGAATCGTTTTTACTTATTGGTTTTTTTAATGAAAATGAAATTTCACCTCAGAAGGTTTATATTAACAAAACAAACCAAATAAAAAGCCCTATGAATAACCTAATTTCCCATGAAAAAAATGGATAGTAATTCTTTCAACTATCACCTTACCGTGCATCATGCTGAGTACATATGCAAGACTTCTGTGGTATCAGAAAGAAATTGACCTGTAGGCCCAATAAGTGTTCTTCCATAAACCATTTTTATTAAAAAAGAATAAAAGATTGAAAACAAAATTCATGCAAATACCATTTTTTCTTTGAAACAAAGAAGGGAAAGTGTGAAAATTCAAGGTCTGAGGTACCACATTTAAGCCACATTAGCAAAGAGGCTGGAATAGCTCAGGGAGCGTTGTGCCATATCCTGCATCACTGAAGGTAGTAAGAATGCTTTCCTTGACTTCAGATAACATCAAGATTAAGCTTCTCGGGGAGGGACTGGAGAAATATCTGTTTTTAAAATAGTTCTACTTCTAAGTAGCTAGATGAAGCTGCACTTGGATGTATCATCTGAGAAGTAAAGCATGATCGCACAGCTAAAGACTGGAAAATTCATGGGACCTGAGTTATGATTACATGATATACCTGAGTTTCAAAAATGCTTAACTTCAGAGTGAATAATAGTGAAGCCAAAATGTTGTATCCCATACGTTTCTGTATTTAATGTTATATTAAAGAATATGTGTATGCGTAAATTGTATGTATAAGGAGCATACATAGATAGATACCTTCCTCTATATTTACACACACATAAAAATTTATATGCAACACATTATTCACACACAGCAATAAAATGAAGAGTTCAGGCTAGAGAAGTACTTGCAAAATGTTTAGCAGGAATTTTTCAGGAATGAGCATTTTATATTCAATTCTGCTGAAACATTTTGTCATTCAAATTTCTAAAGTGAAATGGAAAATACGCATCAGGTGTACAGCTTAAAACAAACAAAACCAAAAAATACCCCTTCTGCACAGCAAGTTTCATCTGCAGAATCAAAAGCTTGCTATTTGAATTTCCAGAGGGAAGAAAAAAAAAAAAGGCAACAATTGCACACATAATCGGTTTGCCTCAAAGGAGGCTTAAAGGTTTTCACAACAATGACATAAAGGACACAATTTTTATGTTGCAAAGACAACAGAAAGGTAATAATTAGCAGGAAGTTTAAAACAGCATCTTCTAAGAAAGGAGCCCAACTAAGTATCCAAGATTACAATATATCGAGACTTTTACCTGAGCAAGGTCAAATGTTCAGTCTTAATCCAAGTTGTGTGAGGAGATGTGAGAGCTACCCATATTAAAAATAAAGTATTAGGAAATGGGGTTAAATTCCACTCTCCAGTATTGTAAATTCTTTTTTTATTTTTCTAGAGGGCCAGTGAAGCACAGAAAAAAAGTTTGCTAATTTTCAGTGGTAATAATTATACATTTAACAAGCTACCATTATACTCCAAAAAGTTCATACTAATGCATGAATAATTATTGGCCCAATTAAGCACCGAATATTGCATCTACAGACAAAAATGAAACATTAGTTAGGAGTGTGACAATGTTTTTTATGTTAGATAAAAGGAAGAGGTAATTTGGATACTAATGCCCAGACTGAATTTGCAGCACACAGCTCACAAAGCAGATAATTTCTATCCTTCAAAACATTTTAGGAGCATATTTTTTCCCCTCTCTCTCTTTTCTGCCTGGTTTTCAACCACACATCCCTTTTTTCCAGAGGTGAAATCAAAGAAGGAACTCTAAAAGCCTGAGACGTTTTGGGTTTTTTTTGGTTTTCTGTTTTTTTTTCTTTTTTTTTTAACTGTTGGGGTTTTGTGGGGGCGGGCAGTGAGGGGGCAGGGGTGTTTCTCCGTACATTAAAAATCCATAAACTTTTGCATGCTAGAGCACAGGGTGCTCTTTGGTGTTTCCAAAGCTGTAGGAAGCACATGAAGTCATACAATAAACAGGAATATCCAGTCAAAAAGAAAGAGCACGTCTCTCACATAAACACAGAGGTAGGTACAAGATTATCAAATATTTTGCAAAATGCAGTTGAGAATGTGGCACTCCACAAAGAATAGCCAGCATTGCAATGGCTTTCATCAGGCTTCTGCTTCTATGTTAGTTTTCCTCATTACTGTTGCACCAGGCATATAAAGCCCAGTCTTGTAATAACAACCATTTATCCCCATTGTTATTTGGGCTTCAGCAATGGAGGAGGGTACATTGCAAGAAGGAAGACAAAGCCTTCCTACTAACATGCCAGTGCCAGGATTTCACAGTTTTCCATCGCTATGAATGTCTGAATGAATTTCCTGAATCAAGACTACTACATTTGAGCAAACGCAGCTTAGTCATCTCTGCTTGAACCTGCCACTATCGCTGTCTACCGGTCAATGACTGGAAATTATACATGCCTAAGGAGCAGTCTATTTCTATGACATTTTGCCCCCTAAGTTTTCCCATTTTTCTCTCCACTCATGACGGGATTTCCTCCATGCTGTGTAGTCAGTTCTCCCATAGAGCCATGGGTCCTATGGAAAACACACAGTCCTTTTTACTGTAGTTTCTCAGGGATGCCTGAAGCTTTAGGGGAATTTATGGGAACAGAAATGAAAAATAATATCTAAAACCACTCCTGAGGCTGCCAAATCCTGGCCAGGTTGCCTGGCTTTGTATCAGTCTGTACATCTCGTATCTGTCTCTGTGTGTGAGAGGCTGAGAGACGCTTCAGGATTTGCAACATTCCAGTGGGAAACCACTTTAAATGTGCCACTGCTGTTTAACTCCTTGTGGCTTGTTTCGAAACCTGTCACCTATGTCATAGCTCTGCATCCCTGAATCTCCTGTAGTTCTCCCCATGCTCAGCAACAAGGGTCCAATACGTGCACGTTCAGAAGTCTGCTTTAAAGCCTCTTTGAGAAGTAGAGGGGAAGCTTTATATTGTTTCCAGCTTAAGGTTTTCAGGACCAATACTGAGGCAACATATAGTCTCAGACACACTCACTATAAAAATCCCTAAATGCATGCACTCCCCTCAGACCCTGGTACTAGCATCCAATAGCAATCTTTCCTTACCTGTTCCTAAAATAGAAGGGCATTGGAAAGACTGAGAGCCAGACTCTTCCTTCCACTCATGACAAGTCTTGTTATGCCCTTAATAACTGAAATGACACCTTTAGTGCCTGAAATTGAATCCTCCCATACTTATATATGTAGATTTTGTCAATTA